GAAGAGGCTGGTTGTTGAGCCCTAAACCATCAGCCACGTTGTTCCGTTTGGCAGTTTCTCTAAGCTTTTGGAGATGGTCCTAGCCCAGCATTTCCAAACTGTTTTGACAAAGTAGTACTGAGTCGGGGGAGCTCTCTGCTGCGGGGCTTCTCAGAGCACTGTGCACTGGGACCCGCAAAAAGGGGAAGTGGTCATGTTCCTCAGCCTTTGTTTTCACAAGGCATCGGGCAGTCAGATGACGTTGGGCACCCCCTTTGGAGAAACACCTGGGAGTGTTTGGGGTGGGCGAGTGAGGAGGCAAAGGAGAACAGGCCCAGGCCTCACCCAGCTCGGGAGGACACGAAGGGAGTCTTTGCTGCTGATGGCAATGCTGCCGGTTCGGTTCCTAAGGACAAATCTGCAGCATGCTTTTAACTCTGAAACGCTTAAAGTTGTAATTGTAATGCCATAGCTGATTGTCTTTGGAAGTGAATGGTCTAGAAACTACACTCAAAATGAATGTTAACCCCTTCAAAGTAATGCTCAGGAGGCCACGTGGTAGCTCTTAGAGTTGTTTGAGAATTACTCTCTTTGGCATGCTGAGCAAGTTTTTGAGCTGCACAAGAAAGTCAGTATTGTTATTCTGTGAAAAATTATTGTATCACATTTAGCAGGCAACGGGTTAATAAAAAGAGCTCTGACAAAATTAGTAAGGAAAAAATAATATATCAGTTGGAAATGGGGCCATCCACAAAATAAGAATTTAAAATGGCAAATAAATATATGAAAAATACTATACTAAAAATTAAAGAAATACACAAAAACACTAGTTGTCACTATTCATTAATAAAAAGTTCACCCTGGCCGGTTTGGCTCAGTGGATAGCGCTTCAGCCTGTGTACTGAAGGATCCAGACTCAATTCTAGTCAAGGGCACGTAGCTCGGTTGCAGGCTTGATCCCCAGCCCTGGTCATGGTACAGAATACATGTGGGAGGCAAGCAGTTGATGCGTCTCTCTCACATCAATGTTTCTCTCTCTGTCTCTCCCTCTCCCTTCCATCCCCTTTAAAAGTTAATGGAAAAAATATATTTGGGTGAGGATTAACAAAATAATTGTTATTATTATTTTGTAAAAATAGTAAAAATCAAATGTCAGTGAGGGTAGTCGTAATTTATTTTTGCATTACAAAGCACTCCAAAACTCAGGGGCTTAAAACAGTAAGCATTTACCAGCTCACAAGCCTACAGTTTGGCTGGGCATTCTTGTCTGAGCCACACCCAGCTGAGCACAGGTCCTGGCTGGCTTGCTCATGTGTTGTGGTCAGCTGGAGGGTTGGCTGGAAACCTACTGGTCTAGGGTGACCTCACCTGGGATGGCTGTGCTCTGCTCCATGTGGCCTCTCATCCTCTAGCCTGGGATGAGAGGAGGCTAGCCTGGCCTCATTCACATGGCAGTTGTGACTGGGATCCTAAGAATGAAGGCAGGAGCTGCAAAGTCTCTTGAGGCTGAGGCTCAGAGCTTAGACATCATCACTTCTGCCACATGTTAATTGGCCAAGCCAAGTCATTAGGCCAAACCAAAACACCTCTCCACGGGGGGAAGTACAAAGTACTGTGGCCAGTGTTGCGATCAGACAGCAAGAACGAGCAAAACGGGCATTATCGTAAACTGATAAATTCATTCATGGGTAAAGCTTGCCAATATCTAACAAAAGCCTTAAAAATCTTCACAGCTTTTGATCCAGGTTAAAGAATTTATTCAAAGGAACTGATTTGAAAAGTATGTAAAGAGGTATGTGTCAGAATGTTCATCACATCACTGTTTATATTAGCAAAACATTTGGGAAAAGTTAATTATCCCATGAAAAGGTTTTGGTTATATGGATTATAAACCATCTATTGAATAGAGTACTATGCAGCCATGTAAAATGATGACATATGACCGTTTTCACTGACTTGTAAAGACTTAAGAAGGCAGATTACAAAAAGCATGTTTCCAACAATCCTACTTGGGATTTTCAATTTCTATTTTGTATCTTTCTCGATCACCCAGGTTTTTGTTGTGTTTTAATTCTGCTTGGGCTTTTTCTATCAGGTTGGGGGTTTTTCATTTTTTTTTATTTTAAATTGAGTTTTAACATATGCATTGATTTATGTAACCATCAGCACAGCCAGACTACAGAGCAGTTCCGTTACCCGCAAAATTATCTTGTAAGACTCTTTGTCATCACATCTTCCCATCACTCCTAAGAGTTTCTTGGCATTATTGAAGAGTTGTTTTTTTTAATCCTCACCTGAGGACATTTTTCCATTGATTTTTTTTTTAGAGAGAGTGGAAGAGAGAGGGAAAGACAGAGAGAAATATCGATGTGAGAGAAATACATTGCATGTGCCCCAACCAGGGCCTGGTACACACCCTTGACCGGAATTGAACCCGGGACACTTTGGTCCGCAGGTCGACGCTCTATCCACTGAGCCAAATCAGCTAGGGCTGAAGAGTATTTCCAGCTTGGAGTGATTATGAATAGCTTCTGTAAACACTTGTACATAGGATTTTGTGTGAGCATAAATTTTCATATCTCTGGGATAAAAGCCCAGGAGTGCCGTAGTTGGGTCATATGTTAAGTATATGCCTTGTTTGATAGGAAATGGCCAAACTATTTTCCGGAGAGGCTGCACCACTTTACATACCACCAGGAATGTATGAGCTTCAGTCTCTCCACAACCTTGTCAGCATAGCGTATTATCACTATATTTTTATTATTGCTCTTCAAATAAGTGTGATATTTTATTATAGTTTTCATTTGCATTCGAGTGGCTAATCATGTTGAATATCTTTTTGTGTGCTTACTTGCCATTTCTATTTTGGCAAAATATCTGTTCTTTTACCCATTTTCTAGTTGGATTGTTCTGTGCACTTCGGTAAAAAGTCAATGTGCCATATTCATGTGGCTCCATTTCTTAATTATTTATTATACTCTGTTGATTGATGTGTCTGTCTCTTTGCCACTATCACACTGTTGTGATTACTGTTGCTTTACAGTAATAGGTAGTTGGAGTCCTCTGATTTTTTTTCCCCAAAACTGGTTTGGCTATTCTAGTTGCTGTATCTTTTCATTTAAATTTTAGGATCATCTGTAGTGATACCATCCATTTCATTCCTGATATTGGTGTCTTGGCTTCTGATTTGTGTCTTACCTCTTTTTTTTTTTTTTGTCAACCTGGTTAAAGTGTTTATCAATTTTACTGATATTTTCAAAGAACCAGCTTTTAGTTTCATTGATTATTCTCTCATTGATTTCTTCAAATATTTTTTTCTGTAATGCACTTTTCTCCTTTCCTTCTTGTATCTCAATGGCATGAATGTTCGGCCTTTAAGTATTGTTCCACAGGTCCCTGAGGCTCTGTTCACTTTTTTCTCTCTGTTATTCATGTTGTATAATTTCTATTACTCTATCTCCAAGTTCATTAAATCTTATTTCTGTCATCTCTGTTATTGAGCATATCCAGAGAATTTTTTAAACTATATTTTTCAGTTCTCGAATTTTCATTTGTTTCTTCTTTATAACTTTTAATTTTTTTCTTATACTTTGTATTTTTACATTTATTTCAAGACTGTTTGCCCTCACCTTTTAGAGCATGGCTGTTTTAAAGTATTTTGCTGGTAATTCCAAATTTTGTGTCATTGTAGGGTTAGCATATGTGGATTATCTTCTCCTTTTCAAGTTGAGATTTCCCTAGGTCTTCCTATGCTGGATAGTAATTTTGGATTTTAGCCTTTGCAATGTTATACAGTTCTGCCTGCCCTGTACATGCACCACCCAGTGGCCTGTCTAAGCATTTAGTCTACCCCATAATTTAGATTTTATTTATTTATTACTTTTTAATAATTTATCCTTATCGTTGAAAGTATTACAGATATCCCTTTTTCCCACCAATGACTCCCTCCACCTTGCTCTTATGCGTGGCCCCACTCCCTAGGCCTTCACAGCACTATTGTCTGTCCATGGGCTATGCATGTAATTTCTTCGGCTAATCTCTTCCCACTCCCCTCTCCCCTTCCCTCTGAGATTCATTGGTTTGTTCCATGCTTCTCTGTATCTATTCTGTTGGTCAGTTGATAGTTTAGTTCTCAAAGACTGCGATGGGATTTTAGGATGAGATCCCAGGACACACAACTCAGAGGTAACTACAAGAGTTCATCCATAACTTTATGGGTTTGTTTTCCTGACTCCCTCCTCTTCACAACCTGCTTTCTAGTCCTCTGGCCAAAAAGCTGGAGCTTTCGTTTTTCCACTCTGTCAGGCACTTCTCACAACTGTGTCTGCTTTTGGTGCCAGTCAGGGAGAACAGAGAGTGAAAAATAAGAAGAAGAATTTGCCCCACATGCTTGGGAATTTTAGCTTCTCTGGTGCCCTCTCTCAAAGACTTTCTGTGTCTACCTGGCCACCAAATCACTCTGCACTGCTACCAATAGAATTTCCTGGGGCTGAGTGAGGAAGTTACAGAAGTGGGGGGGGAGGGGGACAACACGGTATTTCACCCACTCTCACTCCACAGGCCGGAAGAGAAGGCTCCTCTTGCAGCACTTTTTCCCTGCACCCCCTGTGCACTTCTGGGTTTGGGGCTGCTGTGGAGTCCAACCTAAGTAATACCACAGGGGAGAGGGAATGGTAACCGCACTGCCAATTTGGTAATGCTTTAAATCCTAACCTTCTTCCCCAGTATTCCATCTATCATTTACTTTTGAGTCCTCAAATTGTTGCCCCGCGCATTCTTTCCAAGGCTTATAGCTGCATCCGGTGGGAGACACCAGGTGGGAGGAGCTTACTCGGTCTTACCTGGATCTGGAAACTGTCGCCTTGTGTTTTGTCTTTGTTCTTTTTAAACAAGAATCACTTGTCTGTTCAAAAGAAAGCTCTAAACCCAATTGTGTTTTGTTGTTCAAACGTCTGTCGTGAAACACCGCATCCTTTCCTAGTAGCATCGGGATGGGACTGTCACCTCCTGTTCCTTTACAGGGACACAGCTGACTGTGGAGGTCCACCCTCGAGACACCATGCCCGAGCTGCTTAAGAAGTTTTCCTTGGATAAACGTACGTACGTACAGGGCTGCTTGTGTGTGGAGGTCTGGCAGGGAGGATTGAGGGCAACTGAATGGACAGAGCCCAGCTTGGGCATCTTCTAGGGTAAGGAGCAGAGTAACCTGGACCTACACACTGGTAAGAGGCAAAGGTGTGACAGCCTCAAGCTGGGGTTCTGTTTCTTCTCCATTCCCAGAAATCACTATTCTTGAGTGTCTGCAGTTTGGTGTGGGTAAACAAGGCATTTAGCTGAAGATGAATTACATCACAAGAGTGTTATTGTTTTTAGATACCATTTATTGACTGTCTGAAAGGTACCATGTAAGTTTTTTTACATTCGTTAACTTTGGCATATACCAGTATCATACCCACTTTTAGATCAGTAAAGTGAGGCCCAGAAAGGTGAAATAACTACTAAGTGGCCAGCTGGGAAGAGGGTCAGAACCCAGGTCCACCTGAAGCCTATGCTTTTCCCTACCATACGTGGCCAGCCTCAGTGCAGTGCACACAGGCCCAGACCCAGGCCCACGATGTCTCCTCCACTCCCTTCTCAAACTTCCCCCTGTATATGTCCATCTTTTGGCTAAGCAAGGGCCTAGGGAAATGCCAGCTGAAGAACAGAGGCCACAGAGCAGCCAAGATTCAGGTTCTCTCCAAGTCCACTCAGCGGGCCAAGGCGGACCCTCCCCGTCTGCCTGGTCCTATAGCCCTCGGCGGTCAGGATCTCAGGAGGACAGTCAAATGGAGAGAGAACAGACCCTGGGAATCCACTGGCTGGGTTCAGATCTCAGTCCTGTGGCCTTGGGCACGCGGCTTGACCTCTCTCTTGGACTCAATTTCCTCATCTGTAAAAGGAGGAAAGCAATTCGGCATCCCTCATAAGATTCTCGTGAAGTTGAATGAGAGGTACCAGGTACAGTGCCAATACAAAGCACAAGCCAGGCGTACTAAGGACACAATAAAGGCAAGCTTCTATTTTGAACCCCCATTATTCTACCAGAGAAGGTAGATGGGGAAAAAAATGTAGGTGCAAGAAAAGGCCCACTGTTACTAGAATGGCCTTCATAACTCTGCAACCTTCTGTTGTTATATTTGCAGCCTACAGTGGGCTTCAGGGGCATGAGACAGCTGCTTTGGCACCCCGCCCCCAGCTCCTCCAGGTCCCACCAGGAACCTCCTCTTTCTGACCTGCTTTCAGATCAGCAGGAAGAGTTCCTCTCCTGTTGCCCATGGAGTCTAAGAACTGTAGGCAACCATCCTGCCTTAACAGTCCTGGATTTATAGGATGTGGTTGCCCTGGAACCTTCCCAGGGAATAATTTAATAATTGCTTTCTGGGTTTCAGGTCCATACAAACTACTTTTCTCTCGCCCCACTTTCATGTCTGTCCATGGTCAGTTCTTGTCCAGGATTATCTGGCACGAATCCGCCGGTGCTCCCGGCATCCCCAGCTCTGCTGCTGGGAGGCAGGAGCGTGCGGGGGAGGGCAGGAGCAGCAGGCCCCAGGCGGGCCACTAAATAATCCAAAATGTTGCTGTCGGAGGAAATGCTCGCAGACGGCAGGTGTTTTTTCTTGTCACCCTCCCCTGGTTCCCAGGCCTCCTTCCGCCCCACCAGGATGTCTAGGGCAATTTCAGTAGCAACTTGGTGGGAGGTGGGGATGGGAGCAAGAAGGCTCTGAGAAGGAGAGTGAAGGGGAGGGGTCAGAAGCAAGGACCACACAGAGAATGGTCTGTGCTTGCATTTCTGTTTCTTCTGAAGTGTCTCTACTCCTGATCTTTGGGATATTGTAGGTTTGCAAGGTGATAAAAATGGAAACACAAGACCCCGGCAGCCTGGAGGGAAGGATGCCCATGGTAAGTTGCAGGACCGTCTGCTGGGCCGTTCTATGAGACGGGAATCGGTTTAACCTCATGGGGGAGTCTCCAATCGATTGAAAATGGTTCCCTGGGTCCCTGTGCTGAGAGTCAGGGGCCACCTCTGGGCTCAGGGAGGGAGGAGGAGTGTGAATGATTAGCAATGTCTGCCATGGACACAGGGGGCGAAGTAAAAAACTCACACACCAGATGTGAGCCCTAAGCTAAAGCACAAACCCCACCAATAACAAGGCAGCCCATTATGGGAAACATATTAAAACAAGAATCCAGAATTGTGTTAACTTTGAATAGAATGCCAATCACCTGTTAGGTCGGAGACATGCAAATAAGCAGAGCGGGGCAGAGGAGGAAACCCTGCGTGGGGTGATAGACAGCCTGGGTTCAAGTCTTGCTTTTGTTTCCCCCTCATCTTTCCTGGGCCTCAGTTTCCCCCTCAGTAAACCAGATGGCATCTAAGGTTTGGTACAGGTTGGCCTTCTTCCCATTGTTTGGCTTTAAAATTAAAATAATTTTGTTAATGCCACTGGCATTTTAAATGTATTTGTGCAAACTCATATTTGGATTTCTATAATCTGCTCAGAAGGTAAACTTAATGAGGCATAAATCATTATGGGTAATTTTAACGTTCAGATATTGTAAAACAGAACCAAGAAAGGGTAGGGTTTTCAGTCCCATTTTAGAAACGCCACCTTTCTTCTAAATGGGGGCAGGGCGGCCTCATTTGCAGAGCTGTACTGAGCAGAAATTGTTCGATGTGCAAGTCCCTTTCTTATCCACTTAGGTCACCCTGTCGGCCCTTGTCAGAGAATGGCAGGAGCCAGATTCCATGGAGGGAGAGGGCACTGAGAAATGGGGGCGCTCATGAGGGCCTGCCGCCATGTCCCCGCGCCTTCTGAGGGGCTGGCTGGGCCAGGGCTGCACTCAGACCACGCAGGGTAGGGACTGATGGTCCCTAAGTGATGGCAGACAAGAAGTCCCAGCTCTGGCACCAGAGCGGTAACCATGATGGTGCTGGGCTTCCTGGGAGCGCTAATGTAAGGTTGTGCAGGACAGCAGGATCTGGGGTGTGGGGTCCAGGAAATGCCTTAGTCCTCATAGAAGAAGCAGAAGAAGAAAGAAAATGCTAAGTTTCTGAGTGAGGCCACAGCTTTACAGTAGGGACCTTGGAGCGGTGGGGAGATGCAGAAGGATCCATGCAGCCTGTTCCTGGCAGCTAAACTTGACCAGCTGCCTAACCAGCTGGCACAGCCTCTCATCCAGTGCCAGCCCAGCGAGGGTCATGGAGCAGCTCAGGCCAGAGCTGGTGGTGACACCCATCCTCACCTTCTCACCACAACTCTGGGGTCTGTAGCACCAAGGTGTGTGGCAAAGGCACAGGGCACTGAGGCTCATAGCCGGCCTCCTGCACTTGCCTGCAGAGACCCCACCCTGCACTCTCGGGGAGTGAGTGACACTGACCGTACAACCTGCTCCACTGTCTTGTTCCCCTGTGTCTCCAAGACCCCAAACCAACTCGACCAAGGGATCTTTCTGAGAAAGACAGCTCTTGGGAGCAGAGTTTCAGGCTCTGAGAATCATGCTAAAAGTCAAGCAGGTACAGCTTCTCAAAAAGACAGGGAGGCCTGAGCCAGGCAGCCCTCGTCAGCAGGTCTCAGCAGCTGACCAAGCCTCCCTGTGTTTCCAGCCTACCCCTGGGATCGGTCCAGCCTGAAATCCATGCCCCTGGACCTGCAGCAGTTTGAGAAACTGGACACCTATGCCTCACAGGTAGGATAGCTGGCCCTTCTGCCGACCGCGCTCCAGGGTGGCTCGGAGCTCCCTGAGCCAGGGAAGCTCAACCTTTCCCTAGGCCCCTCCTGAATGTATCCCGAGTCCCTTGGATGGATGGCCCAGAGTGCCTTTTCATAGTGTATGGATGGGGGACAGAAGGCCCAAGGCAGCAGGCCCTGCCCAGGACCAAAGGCCTTTCTACCACCCGCGGCCCCACCGCAATCCTGATGCATCCATCCCAGGCTGCACACCCTGCAGCTGTGTCATTGGCAGGCCCCCCTGTCCTGCCCTCTGCCTGCCCATTTTGGCATTGCTACTACTGAGCCATGCCAGCCCCAGCCCAGGAAGGGAGGGAGGAGGAGGGTGGGGAGGACCATAAATGCAGATGGCCAGCACCCACTGTGACCATAGCCAAGCTCATCCCTTGAGCGTGTAGGCTGCTGAGCTCTCACATCTTTGGGCCTGGACATGTGTGGCATGGGCGTGGGGAGGAGCAGCTACAAGAGCTGAGGCACTAGGGGCACACTGGGGTCGTGAGAGCCAAGCAGGACCCTCACCACAGATAATCTGATTGGATGGGCCAAGGAGCTGGACCTGCTGTGATGTCAGGTGAGCCATCCGAGGCTGGCAAGCCAGGAAGTCATCTATAGGCTGCTGGCCAGGCTCAGAGGACAATGCCAGGAGCCTAGCTGTGGCCACAGATACTGCCATGGAGCAGTGGAAAACCAGAGCCAGCCGGGCCCAGGGAGGGTCAGGGGTGGGGAACAGTGGACCAGAAGCCATGGACTAAAGTTTGGGGTTAAATCCGGAGTCAGCCTGGCCATAGTTTGGACCTGCAATGTGTTCTAGGCCCTGTGAGAGGGACAAAGACAAGGGTGTGGCGTTGATGCTGGACATAGAAGAAAAAGAAGCAGAGAGCAGCAGGGCGAGTGGGTGACAGAAGATGGGCCCAGAGGTCTCCTTGTGCTCAGAGAGTGGGTCCTGGAGTTCCAGTGAGCAGTGGGGCAGTCGCAGGAGATAATAGGTCAAGGAGTGCCCTAGGGTGGGGGCTGAGGGACATGTGGGCAACTGTGGCCCAACTGAGCCTCCAGTGGCCCCGTCTTCTCTAGAAAGATTGAATAGGGTCAGGACTGCCTTTTCAGCAACCCCAACCCTGTTTCCTCCTGAGGGCCCCTGTGAGAAAACCTAATTTGTTCCTTTTTTTAATTGTGGTAAACTATATATAACATAAAATTGCCATTTTAATAATTTATAAGTGGCATTAATTACATTCACAGTGTTGTATAACCATCACCACTATCTACTTCCAAAACCAGAAACTCTATGCCCATTAAGCAATAGGTTCCCATTCTCCCTCACCCCAGCCCCTGGTAACCTCTAATTTACTTACTGTCTCTATAAATTTACCTATTCTAGATATTTCATGTAAGTGTAATCATACAATATGTGTCCTCTTATGGCTGGCTTATCTCACTTAGCATCATGTTTTCAAGGTTCATTCATGTTGTAACACATATCAGAACTTCATTCTTTTCAATGGATGAATAATATTTCACAGTTTCGACCTATCACATTTTATTTATCCATTCGTCTCTGATGGACACATGGGTGGATTCTACCTTTTAGCTATTGTGAATAGTGTTGCAATGAACGTTTGTGAACAATTATCTGTTTGAGTCCCTGTCTTCAGTTCTTTTGTGTATGTACCTAGGAGTGGAATTACTGGATCATATGGTAGTTCTATGTTTAACTTTATGAGGAATACCCAAACTGTTTTCCACAACAGCTGCACCATTTTACATCCCCACCAGCAATGTACAGGGTTCTAATTTCTCAACATTCTTGCCAGCACTTCTTGTCTGTCTTTTTTATTACAGCCATCCTTGTAGGTGTGAAGTGACATCTCTTTGTGGTATTGATTTTCATTTCCCTATTGACTAATGGTGTTGAGCATCTTTCCATGTGTTTATTGGCCATTTACATATCTTTGGGAAAATGTATATTCAAGTCCTTTGCCCATTTTAAAAGTGGGTTGTCTTTTTGTTGTTGAGTTGTAGTTCTTTATATATTCTGGATATTAAACCCTTAACAGATATATTATTTGCAGATATTTTCTCCCATTCTGTAAGTGGTCTTTTCACATTCTTAATAATGATCTTTGATGAACAGAAGTTTTTTTTATTATTATGAAGCCCAATTAATCTATTTTTTCTTTTGTGCCTTATGCTTTTGTTATCATATCTAAGAATCCATTGCCAAATCCAAGGTCATGATGATATGCCCATGTTTTCTTCTAAGATTTTTATACTTTAAGTCTTATGCTTAGGTCATTGGTCCTTTTTGAGTTAATTTTTTATATGGTGTGAGGTAGGGGTTCTACTTTATTATTTTTTATATGGATATCCAGTTGTTCAACATCGTTTGTTAAAGAGACTATTCTTTCCCTTATTGAATGGACTTGGCACCCTTATCAAAAGTCAGTTAGCCATAGCTATATTATGAGTTTATTTCTGGGCTCTCAATTATATTCCATTGGTCCATATAATCCATTGTGTCAGTACCACACCATTTTGATTACTGTAGCTTTGCAGTAAGTTTTGAAATACAAAAATATGAGCCTTTTTTTTTCAAAATTGTTTTGACTATTCCAGCTCCTTGCAATTCTATATCAATTTGAGTGTTGGTAAAAGGGCGGGGGGGAGGCTATTGGAATTTTATATAGAGTCTATTAATTCTGTAGATTGCTTTGGGAAATATTAGCCATGACTAGGGGCTGCTACAGCCAACCAGATACCCACCTGGCTGATCCCAAAATTTACAAAGAAAAGATGTAGTGTTTCTAGGGCCAGTGAGTCAGCTGGTCAGCACTACCCATCATGTTCAGCTACCCCCCCCACCACCACCACCAACAGTTGCCCTCAGCCCAGCCTTTGTCCCTCTGGGCCTCTCCTCTTCCTTCTTTGCCTGAAGGAAAGGGAACACTGGCTGCATGTGGCAGGGTGCTGGGCTCCCACAGCCCTCGTCCAGGCCCTGACACAGCACACACACCCCATCCCCCAGGTGACAGTCAAGAGTGGCCTGGACGAGCTGGTGAACGACCTGCTCCAGGAGGCCCACAGTGACCTGGAGAGAGTCCGTGCCATCTGGATCTGGATCTGCCACCATATAGGTAGGACCACCTATGGTGTTAGTGGTTCTAGGACCCCTTGGTACCACTCCTGCAGGCTCTGTTCCCAGAGTAGTATCTCTGGGACTCACTCAATCACCAGTGAGTGTGGAATGAGATGAAAGACAGAGGACAGGGGCTCTCATATGACTAGATTGAATAACCTAAGACTAACCAAGCAGAATAAAAGTCACCATAAAGGGTCATTGGGTAGAGGGTCCCACGTGGCCCTCTGCCCATGGCCAGTGGCCAGAGCTGAGGCCCTTCCTTCAGTCCTGGCTTCCTGGTAAAACTGCTCCAGAGAGATGAGAACCCAGGGCAAGTCATTTTCAAAAAGTATGATCATCAGTTGGGGAGGAGTCATAGCTATTTGAAAAGTTATTGCAACCAGAGTTTGCTTAAGTCCCAGTGCCAGAAAGGGTGGGCTCTCCTCTCCCTGCTCCTGTTCCCATACTAGCAACTTCAGCCACTGGTCTCAGCGCAGTGTCTAGGTTCTCAGAGCCGCCTACAGCCCTTCACAGCACCACCTTGGGAGTCTGACCAGGCCAAGCCAAGCCAAGCCCCACAGGTAGTTGCTAAGACGATAATAGGTGCTACCCCTTGCAGTCGATGGAAGAACCAGGTGGTGGGTGTACTTTCAGTGTTTCCCCTATGACATAAGGACTTTCCTGACCCTCTGCCACTCGGCTTTTCCTTTGTCTTCCCAAAGCAGCAGGTAGAGAGGTAGCTAGGATGAACTCACCTGACACAGGTAGGGGGTGTGACCATAGGCCTGAGGGGCCACCTGCTTCCACCCCAACCCCAGCAGCTCAGCCTGGGCCTTAAGGGGGCAGGATTAGAAACAGAATATTTGGTAGAACATTTTTACTGCACACACACACACACACACACACACACACGCACGCACGCACACACACACACACATTTGTGTCCGCGGTGCCCATTGTGCCTCAGGGCCCCACCGCAGGCCTCCAGCTCTCTTGTTAGTGGAGTGACAGGCTGTAGGCGAGCAGTCTTCTCTATTTGGGGCAAGCTTTGACGGTAGCTCAGCGCCCCCTGTGGGTCAGTGTGAGGCCTTGGCCTTGGGGGCCGCAGCAGGGACAGGAACAGCATCCCTGGGACAGCCTGCAGAGCTGTGTGGAGGTGGGATAAGTATGCAGAGCCCTCCACGCCCGATGCTTCTCCCGGGCCCGAGGGAGGCCAGCCCAAATTCTGTTGAAAACACAGCTGAGGGCAGGGCCTGTGGACCCCCTCTCACAGCCTCCTACTCTGCCCTCTAGAGTATGACATCGAGGCTGCCCAGGAGAAGGACCGCCAGGCCTTCAAACCCAGCAACATCCTTCAGACCCAGAAGACCAACTGTGATGGCTACGCGGGGCTCTTTGAGAAAATGTGCAGGTACCAGAGAGGCCACCCCCACCCACCCCTCCCCCTTCCAAAGTGCTATGAGCCTTCGCCCACGTGCCAGCCCTGAAACCTGAGTTTGCAAACTCTGCTCTGGAATCCGAGTGAGTCCTGAAAAGGTCAATTTCTCCCGTTTTAACACCAGCATAATTGACTTTGTACCATCTGCCAGGCTTCGCGATGCATTAACATAATGGCAGATGAATGCACAGAAATAATTTGGTTATAAAAGGCCCTTTTTCCACCTTCTCCCATCTCTGTGCAGCTGAAGGTTAGAAGAATGGCAGATTTGGGAAGGGGAGGACAGTGGCTGCTGACGCCAAGGGGACTGTGAGAGGCTTGTCCTCCAAGTCTGGCACAGGGGGCCTCTCTCAGGGGAAGCAAAAACTCTCCTACCTGAGAGAGTTGTCAGTTGGAAGAGCTGAATAACTAGGAAGCAGCGTCTGTCTTGGAGCCTTTGGGCTCCGTGTTCATTGCTCTGGGAGTGAGCACCTGGCCAGGTTGCCTGGGTGGGTGATAGCGGCTGAGTGGCCGGTAAGGAAAACATTTGTGTTTGGGGTCATCACCGCCAGGTCTGGGTGACCCTGAGACAGACTCAAGGCTGGGGGAGCCCCACTGATCCCCGCAGTTCCTGTACCTGCTCTCTGAGGTCTGCTGGGTTCCCCAGGACACAATCAGCCAGCCCCAGGGGCCACTGAAAACCCCCCTTCCCAGGGAAGGGATGCACCGCTGTCCACTCTGCAGGCCCCTGGGAGTGTGTTTTCTCAGGCACCGGGACTGCGGGGGGCAAGCCATCAAACCAAGTGTAGCAGGTGGCTGCAAGGTGTCCTATTCTACCAGACATCCACCCACTCAACTGATTCCTGGCCTCACCCCCAGTGCTGGCCTCCCACATCCCCATCTCCATCGCCATGTGCCTGCCCCTCCTGCCCCACCCCTCCCCGGCCTCAGGGCCCACCCCTGCGACCACAGAGGCAACCAGGGCAGGTCGGGTGCAGAGGATACCAGCCCCTCCATCCCCATTCACTCAGCCAGAGCAGCTCTCACGACCCCTAACGTTCCCACTGCCACCCCACCCCAGACCTAGGTGCCCCCATGTGCCTTTGGGCCCCTTAAAGAGCTAGGATCCTCTCCAGGCCCCTGCCCAGGCTCCTCTGGCCCCAGGTTCCTGAACAAGACTGCCCTGAAAAGTCCTCCAGAATCCGACCCCAGCCACCCTTCCAGGCCTGCGCCCTTTGAGGCCGCCCACACCTCCAGAGCTCGCAGCGCCCCTCTCCCTAATGCTCCTCCCAGGCCCCGCGCCAGGACGTCATCCACACGCTCCTGTCTTGCCTTATGCTTTTACTGAATACGTTTCTAAATTAAAAATATACTTGTTAATTGTAGGTGATGTGTAAAGTGCACAGAAGCAAAAAGAAGCAAATTAAATGACTCTGAATCCTACCACATACAGATAACATTGTCATATGCCTCCCTGGGCTTTGTTCTCCCATAGAGGTGCTAACCTGTGTCCATTTCCTCTCATTCCTCTCACATGTCGACAGGGCTTATATGTCTTCGCATATTGTTAGTCTCTCTCTCTCTCTCTCTCTCTCTCTCTCTCTCTCTCTCTCTCTCTCTTTCTCTCTCTCTCCCTCTCCCCCACCCCTTTCTCTCTTCCTCCCTCCCTCCCCTGTGACCACCCATCTCATAATCCTACACACCATAGGCCTCCAAAGTCAGGAAAAGACAGGATATTCCAGCAAACTTCTACAAAAATGGGCCTTATTCTCTTTTAAAATATGGAATAACCATCAATCTGACTGCAGCTCTGTTTGTGTGTAGCATCTTCCAGACCTTAATTCTTTTCATCTTAATTTGTTCATTTGAAAACATTCAGGGTTTTTAAGTCATAGAACATGTCCTCTATCCATCACAAGCTTTCTAGCATAGAGGGCTAGAAGGAGTGCCAGACTTGACGCCAGAAAGACCCCCCAGTCCTCAGTTCACCGGTCTTGAATTTACCACGGGTTAGTTCCATGCCTTTGGGAAGGCACTTAATTCTTGGCGCCTCAGTGTCCTCATCTGTACACTGGGGCTGTGCTGCCTGCTGGCAGGACTGCAGGACTAAACAAAAACATGCAGTTTGGGGGGGGATGACCCAGCTTTGTTTAAGCTTTCTTGTCTCTCTGGAGTACGGAAGTGCTTTTGCTCTGTGGACCTCTCCCACAGACCCAGGCAGACTCCCAGCGACTCAGGAAACTGACACTTGCCTGGAGTGAAACAGTCAGCTTTTGGCCTGGTCCAGATGCTTAACAATGGCCCTATTCTGGCCTGCAGCTGATCATTAAAACACATTCCAACACTTTGCATCATTTAAAGTTAGGCCCCAACGTGCAAGACTCCTCACGTTTGCCCGGGGTGTTTAACAATAGCTCACAGTTCCATGAATTCTTTTAACTTTTGCTTTAAAGATCAGTAACCTCATCTATGCATCACTTCCCTACTTCCCCTTCCCTTTAAAATAACTGTCGAAGGCTTGGTAAATTCATTAGCTCATTCCTTAATAACCGAAGACAGGTAATCCAGAGTTGCTGATTTATCCCTGCCTAGTTGTCAGAATGTTCTCTTAGCGAGAGCCGTGCCCACACGGCATCGTTACAGCTGCCAGTCCACTCTGCCTCCCTGCAATGGCCTCATTAAGGACTGATTTAATAAAGTAATTTGGTGGGGAATTCGGATATTTTCACAACAGCCTTCATTTCCTCGTCGTCTTTCCCAGGTAACCGACGTGAGGTTATTTGTTGATGCTATTGCTTGTAACTGCTGGTCCGCTTTCTTTCTGACTTTCTATCATCCGGCATTAATGTCTTTCCTTTTGCCTCAGTTGTCACAGCCTTAATGAATTCTGCTTAATTTCCCTGCAGGGCCCAGTTTAATTCCCCAGATCCCTGGACCTAAGTCAGCCTCCAGTACCTTCCTTGCTCCGTTATCACAGCTCGAGCACCAGCTAGCAGATTTTCCAGAGACTTTCGATAAAGCCAGGAGCTTATTACCAGTTTGAGACTTTAATGCTGAGGGACTGATTGTCACCAGTCAGATGTCAGTCAGTTTTCCATCCGTCCATCCTTCAGCTGCCACAGAGAGCGGGCGCAGTGACATGCATGATGTCCTGGATGATCCCAAAACATCTCATGTCCCCAAAGGCCTCGAAACTGGGGAGCGGCCCTTCTCAGCTCCCTAAAGAGCCAGATAGATACCAGGGTAACCTTAAATTATCCCCAAGTCTGACTTTGTCATATAAGGCCTCCAAAAGAGACATCTAACGTCCCCCACCTCTGCAGATTCATCAAATATGAATGACATCACACTAGCAAACCACCCTTTCGTTTTGCTCTGTATACCACCCATAGTTTATAGATTAAAACATAACTTGGTGAACAAAAGGGCTGGTGCAAGGCAAAGCCTCCCAAACTGGGCATTAGAACAACTAAGTGCTGGAGCTGCACTGGCCACTGACTGGCTGTGTGTCCCCAGGCAAGTCGGCTTCCTTCTCTGAACCTCTGTCTCCTCACCTGTTGGAGAGGAGGTCCCTGAGGTCACGTGACCTCAGAGGCTCTAAACAGGGCCTTCAAGAAAGAGTTATTACTGTGATTACACTTACTGACCACACCATAAGGGTGATGTAAGAAAAGAAAAATGGGCCCTGGCTGGTGTGGCTCAGTGGGTTGGGCATTTCCTGTAGGGGACATGCAGGAGGCAGCAGCAGCAGATCAATGTTTCTCTCTCTCTCTCAAATCAATAAAAAAAACATATTTTTAAAAAAGAAAAGGGAAAGGGAAGCAGATAACAGGAATATAAAGACACTTTCAGATTTACAGCGACCACATAACATGTGAAACATAAATCATGGTTGTGGTTGTCCTGCTGCAGAATGGAAATCACAGTCTGTTTTGGCCAGTTTAGAATTCATCTTTATTGCAATAATATTAACCTTCTTGAGAACCAACTTTTCGGCAACAGCAAGGCCCTAAGACTTCTAAATCACATACGTTTGCCCAGGGAAAGTGGGCATAGGGCTTAAAGTTAATGAAACCATATTTCCTAATTTCGCTATTTGAAATCACAATATTTTCAACACGATGCCAAAAAAAAAGAGCAGGCTTTGTTGCCTCTCCTGCAGCCACCGTCCTTCCCGCCCGTCCTCCATCCCCTTTTCTGTGCGGGGTTCAGACATGCAGGAGGGGGGCATCAGAGCCTGGTGGGTGCACCTGCTGGGGGCCTGGCCGTGTGGGGCTGAAGCAGCATCACGCGGCTCCAATGGCAGGGCCTGGACCAGCTCTGTACACAGTGAGTCAGTCTGGATCCTCCACAACTAATACCATTGGCTTTGGGATTTTCAAAACGGTGAAAGGTAAAACCCAAGATTCTGCAGCCTGCCGGAGCTAGTAGACAGGTCTCCTCGGGTGGTATTGGGGGCTCTAGGACAGCTGGCCTGGGCTCTGTAGGAGGTTTCTCATCCTCTGCCCCTTCTTCAAAACCCTCCCAGCTCCTTCCAGCAAATCCCTCCTCCTTTGGGTTTCCCGGGGCTTTGTTTATCACTAGCATTTCAGTGACGGTTCACCTATCTGCCCCCTTCCAACTTCCAACTATGAGCACTTCCAGGGCAGCCAGTGAGCTTAATGTTTGGAATATTACATTTTACTATATTGTAGGATATGATATGATATATGATATGATATGATATGATATGATATGATATGATATGATATGATAGTAATTCCCTGGTCCCTGGTGCAGTGCTTGGCCCAGAGTGTATGCATCAGCGAGCTCTTGATGGCATGAAATGGCCACCGGTCATCCTGACTAGCTACCAGCAGCTGGAATCACTAGTTCCACAATTTGGCACGAGAATCATGGAATATGAACAATAATGCTTTACATGAGGACTGCTTTGTCCAAATCATCTGGCACATCGCTGCCAGGTAATAAATGTCCTCACATCATAGTCGAGCATGGCATAAGCTTAGAGCTGAGTTTCCTTTTTCATCTTTATTCTGCCCCGGGCATTCCCCACGGCCCTCCCATCTTCTCCTCGGCCTGTCAGAGATCATTGAATGCCAGCTTTTCTTTTTGCCCGTGATAAGTCTGGCAAGGTCACACTGGAGGTGACCATGGGAGCTGGAGGTAGAGCTGGGGTCTCCTGGCTCAGCCCAGTGACCGCCCACTCCAGCCTGGAGCACCCCAAGCCTGGGCAGGTTCTCAAATCTTACCCCCACTCCATCCGCTCCATGGGAGGGTCCCCGATGGCACACAGCCCAGGGACACGGCATCACCTAGGAGGACCCTCAGGCCGAGTTTGAACCGGCCATGCTGCCTGCATCAGCACCAGCTCCATTTCACTGTGGAGCCTCCTCCCTTCCTGATTCTAGGTGTCCAGGTGGCTCTGAGCGGATGAGCATCCGCGGGCAGGTGTACGGAGGGGCAGCTCCACTCGGTGCCTCTCCCTGCAAACAGGCCGGCTCCCTTCTCCCCCCACATGTACTCAGAATCGATATGCACAGACATCTGGGCAAGAAAGGAAAATAACTCACCGAAGAAAGTAATTTCAAGTAGGATGTATGCATTCTTTCCAATTCCAAAAGTAACACATAATCATTCCTGAAAATTTAGAAAATATAGAGAAGTTCAAAGAAGAAAATTTAAATCCCCCAGAATCCCAGGTGACTTTTGCACTGTTTCTCTCTCTGCCCTCCCCCTCTGTCTCTCATCCTCCATGAATGTGGGGGCACACACATTCTCATACACAATGTGCTGAGGGCAGAGTTTTATGGGCTCCTGTCAATTAGCACTGCTTCAGGAGCATTCCTTACCTCACTAAATGTTCTTCACCGCATTTCTCCTCCTCACCCCCTCTCAGAGAACGTGGAGCCCTCCAGTAGAGGCCCAACCCCCACCCAGACCTCCTTCCCACCCCTCTGGCCTTGCTTTGACCTCCCCTCTTGCTGGCAGTTTGCTCTAAGACAGTGGTTCTCAACCTTCTGGCCCTTTAAATACAGCTCCTCATGTTGTGACCCAACCATAAAATTATTTTCGTTGCTACTTCATAACTGTAATGTTGCTACTGTTATGAATCATAATGTGAATATCTGATATGCAGGATGGTCTTAGGCGACCCCTGTGAAAGGGTCATTCGACCGCCAAAGGGGTCGCGACCCACAGGTTGAGAAGCGCTGCTCTAAGACTATGAAATGTTCAGATCTCCTCATCCTGGGAACAAGCCCCCTGGACCCCGTGGCCCTGCAGGTCCCTCCTCTGCAGCGAGGTGAGGCGGGGGCTCTGCAGGTGTGCATGCTGCCCTCTCCCCTCCTATGGGCCCACCCCGCCCTGCCTCCTGGGCCTCCTACCTCTGAGCCGCCCTGCTGCTCTGAGAGTCGGTTTTGACCTTTACCAGCAGGAAATCTAAACATCAGGACCCAGTGTCTCTTGCTTTCTGCCCCCGTCCCCCACGTGCTCCCAAAGTCCTCCGACAGGGCCCAGCTGGTCTGTTCCCTGTGAGGCTGCAGCAGAAGTGGGGGCTGCGGGACAGCCAAGCCCATCAAAAACCCCAGCAGAGCGGCCTGTGCCCACCAGGTGGGGGGCAGGGCTCATCCCGTGCAGGTGAAGCACCCAGGCAGGTGGAGTGTGGTCACCTGCAGGCTCCTCACCTCGCTTCGTTCATTCTCAACAATGATATGTAGCTATAGATAAGTAACACTTAGTCCAGCATTCTGCTAATCGTTCATTAAACATTCATTTTTATAGGGGAGATTCCCCCCGTTGCCATGGTGAGTGTGTGGCCGTTTCACCCCAGGACCTGAGAGGCCCCGTGGCGCTTTTGCTTAGAGCAACTGAGGCTGTGGACCTGGTCCATGGATGTACCTCGTCACCAGAGCATCCCCCCTGAACCAGCCCTGGTGACCCCCGGAGTGCAGAGTCAGGTCACCGGGTCAGTGCTGTGGGCAGCCTGTGTGCTCCAAGGAGCCCATTTGAGGGGCCACATGCACCCCCGGGTAGCGTGGATTTGTGTATTTATTATGCCCGTCATCCACAAGCGAAAGGACAGTGTCTCAAAGAAGAGGCAACATTTTCTAACTCACACAAAAGCCCCAGAACACTAGCACAGGTACCCCCAGTCAGACTAGCAGTCCACCCCCTCGGCTGCCATTTAGGGGGGCTGGGGTACTGAAGAGGAAGGCCGCCTACCATCCCAGGACTCTCCAGTTCTGGCTTGGCCTTGGGGTGGTCCCCAACACTCAGATCTGGGCCTTAGGACTTCAGCTATAGACACCCACACTGGAGCTTCCAGTGATCACCGAGGTTCCCAGATGTGGCCAGCACCCAGGCCCCACTGTCCAGGCCCCAGAAAGTGTCAGCAGCTCAGTTGTGAACGCCAGGCGCTGCTCCACCAAAGGGGCCCAAGAGCTTGGAAAGTCCCATCAGCGTTCTACGTCCCCAAGGACAACTGTGGGGGACTTCAAACCTGTGGCCACAGCAGTCATGACCTTAACGCATGTCAGTCGGACCAGAACGATCCTGGAGTCAGGGCTGGATACTCAGGCTGCCCACCCCAGGGGTCCCCACAAAGAGGTCCTTGAGCTGGCAGAGTAGGGCTCAGCTTTCTTCTGCACCTTGGTTTCCAGCACACCTCCCTGACACCCCACCGTGTCAGCTAGACCCCGCCCCTCAGTTGTACAGGCGTTTAGAGCTGCTCTGGTTTGAGAAGGCCACCGTTTCCCTGGTTTCCGTGTCCTTGAGGTGGTTCTCACTGTGGTGAGCACCCAGGCAGGCTCTGGGGAGAGACATTTAATCTTGAGGGCGGAGCAGACAGCAGAACAACAGCCAGTCTTCACCAGCAGGACTATCCAGGACCCTGCTCTGGAGGTAAAAGCCCGCAGGCTGTATGTATGTGGCTCTGTGAGAGGTAAGGAAAAAGAGAGACGCAGAGGGCCTCAGGGACAGCAGACACACCGGAGGCCTGGGGCCACTGACAGACAGACTTGGACGGGGACAGCCCGCCTCTCAGACCCGCTGTCGCCCCCAGAATCGCTGGAGTGCAGTGCATGACGGTGCCCGGCTACTCCAAGGGCTTCGGCTACCAGACGGGGCAGAGCTTCTCGGGGGAGTTTGACCACGCCTGGAACGCCGTGTACCTGGAAGGGAGGTGGCACCTGCTGGACAGCACCTGGGGCAGTGGCCTGGTGGATACCACCACCTCCAAGTTCACCTTCCTGTGAGTACCAGTCTCCATCCTGATAGGTGGATACAGGGAGAGCCAAGGATGAAGGAGGCGGCCAGAGGGAAGGAGGGCCAGGGAGGCCTCAGCCTACTGCTGGCTGCTCCACCTTCCCTCGAGCTCCAAAGTGAGCCAGCTCCAGACCAATTATAAGGGCCCAGAACTGACAGGGTGCACAAGGCAGAACTCCTCTGGCTCCCTATTACTCCCTCCACCCGAGAGCTAAAAGCCTCCAGCCTTTGCCCGCGGGCCACGTATGAGGAAAGGCGGGGCTGGGAACCTTCTTTAACTCCCCGTGCAGGTTTTGGGCCATTGACTGTATCATGATGCAGATACCCGTACCCTTTCCTGCTGCTCCCTAGACACCAGGTCGGTCTCCTCCTCTCTGGGCTGAATGCAGGAAGGGATGCTGATGGTGTGCAAGGACCCTGAGCCACACTGAGTGCAGGCTCTGGCCAACCCTGGCCTTAAGCGAAGGCCCTGACATTCACTGTGGATTGTGATGTCCATCACAGCTCAGATCCATCAGAGAAATGAGCGTTGTCTCTCTCGCTGATGTTTTCAGTTTAAATCTTGACAGCCCCACTCTTGCATTTCCCCCCACAAATGCAAGAGCTTTTGCGCGCGCGCACACACACACACACACACACACACACACACACACACACACACAGACGCAGGACCGGTGCACTCACATGCCTCCTCACCTCTGTCAGCTTCGGGCACTGCTCGCTTTGGGCTAAGTAGAGCCTCCCCATCTCAGATGAGTCTCCCCATTCTCTTCTTGATGCCCATCGCTGACCCCCAGAGAGCCACATGGGATCAATCCTAAACACTGCAGAAGGCTCCTCCCACACAGCTGCTCAGGCAAGGAGACCAGGGGGTGATGGAGCCGGCCCCCCTGAGCACTTTCCGTCCCAGCCCCCTCCCCTTCACTGCCTGGCGCCTGGTGCGCAGGCCATGCCTTTTGTTCCCTTCAAGTCTCTGGCTCTGAGAACAGGGGGCCCTTCTCCCAGGCACAGCTGTGGGTTGTGGCCTTTTAGACGGGACTCACATCCTGCCTTGGCTCGTGTTTCGAGAAGCAGACCCTGAGGTGTCGTCTCCAGTGCCCATGTCAGGATTGGAGGTGGTGCCTCTTCCCATTCCAGGAGCAGGCAGGCCCCCTCCTGGGGGGGTGTTAGCCCAAAGCAGGCCCCGCAGACCCCCCTGGAAGGCCCCGCCTCCCCCTCCACAGAGCTGGCCCTGCGCACCCCATGCGGCTGCTGACCAGCTTTCCCTCCGCTCCAGCTACAATGAGTTCTACTTCCTGACGCATCCCGCTCTGTTCATCGAGGACCACTTCCCAGACAACAAGAACTGGCAGCTGCTGAAGCCCCCGCAGTCCCTGAGGCAGTTCGAGAACAACATGTATCACAAGAGTGAGTTCTACAACAAGGGGATGCTGAGTGCCCACCCGGAGACTCCCATGATCAGAACAGGTAACCCCGGGCAGGTGGCCGGTGCGCCCGCAGCAGGGACAGGGCAGCCTGCTCAGTGCCTCCAGGCGCCTGGGCCCCCATGGGACTATCCTTCCAGGCCCGTGAGCTCAGTGTAAGCTGTATGTGTGGCGGCATTCGGGGGGAGGGAGCCACTGAGGCAGCCAAGGCTGTCAAGCCATTGGTCACACGTGCAGGGACAGAAGCCTCCTCACACCAGCATGTACCAAGAAGGGGGCATGGAGGGAGCCTGCGGGCTTTCCTACCCAAGGGCTGAGTCCCCCACGCTGGCTGAGCCTCGCTCAGCTCCCAGCAGCAGGGACAGCTCAGCCCTGGCTGCACCCCCTCCCAGTTGAAGTTGACTGCCCTGCTGTATTCTCTTCCCAAACTCCTGGCAGAGAGCACAGCTGGCCCAGCTGAGTCCGTTTCTGTGTGTCAGTGGTCTGACCAGAAGCCCGGAGTGGCCGGGGTCTCCCAGGGCCCAGGGTGGGGAGAGGCTTTCTTAGGGAGGTGGCCACTGAGCGGGGTCTTGGGAGCTGGAGCAGAGCAGGCATCCTGGTACGTGGGGACGGACATGTTCCTGAAACCTCTGAGCTCAAGCTCCAGAGACCGGAGACTGGAGACCCAGGCCAGGCTCCAGAGGGCAGCGCAGCCTCTTCTGTGCCCAGGATGCTGCTGGCTCTGCTGACCTCTGCTCCACCTCCCTCCTCCCAGGGACAGGACCCAGCCTTTTCCAGCCAGCTCCCCTGGGGCTGGGCTGGGCAGTGCAGGACCCCAAGCTGAGCTGTCCCCATGGCTGGCCTGCCTGACATTTGCTCTCCACTTCCCCACGGCAGCATCGTCTGCACTTTATGAGGCATATGGGGGCCACCTCCAGGGATCCAAAACTGTGGTCGTGGGCCTCACAGGACTCTCTCCAGAGGACTGTGTCTTATGCATCTCCAAGGCCCTGGTGCCTGGTCCTGGGCTGGGCACACCACAGGGCTCAGCACAGCTGGTCAGTGCTCCCCTCCACCTCAACGAAGGACGGCCTGCAGGGCTCTCCCTCTCCAATCCCAGGGGGCCTGTGTGCTCTCAGGACGGAAGGCTTGAGCTCACACTAGTGGTCGCACACACAGGGTGGCCTGTGGGTGGGCCCACTGCCAGGGGATGGGGGCAGCTGTGTTAGTTCCAGCTGCCTTGTCCCTCTGCCTCACAAGGGTTTCCTTAACCAGGCTGAATCCAGCTTACTTTTTAAAACTCAAACACCCGGGGGCTCCTGCTACTGAAATAACAGCGGGAGGCCACTGGCCTGAGCGGAGGCAGGATGGCCTGGGCTGCCAGGGTCTCCTCAGGTGGGGAGCCTGTCGTCTGAGGAGCCACAGAGACGAATGCACCAGGCACACCAACATCTAACTCGTGCCACCAAGTTGACTGTGCCTTTGCAAGAAATGTCAGCACGGCTGCTTTCTTAGATAGTAATCTGCAATGTGATTCCATACTCGAGATGCATATGTAAAGAATGCCTCTGGGTTGGAGCTAGTTAAGAGTGGGGGTGGGGAGGAAGCAGAAGAGGGAAACCGGGGTGCACAAGCAGGACAGGAAGAAGACACAGGGCAGTGGGGTGGCAAGCCACTGAGAGCAGTGAGCTCTCTCTCTCCCTTCCTTTCTGAGAGGGCCATGAAGGGGGCGGGAGGAGAAAGGGACAAAGTGGACACGGGCTCCTACGACCCCAGGCGGCCCCAGCCCTTTATTTGTGTCTCCCCAGCTGTAATACTCACCTTTGCCAAGAACCCTCGGGTGGTACTGGGACAAGCAGAAAAGGAGGGCCCCTTGGCCACAGCACCCCCACCCAGCAGGGAGGACAGACATTACACAAAATGAATTCATGCCTGGCCAGTGTGGCTCAGTGGTTGCATGTTGACCTATGAACCAGGAGGTCACAGTTCTGAAACCTGACAATCCATGGGTCCGGGCTGCCTGTTACTACCTGAGCCAATTAAGCAGAGACAGAGTTGAATCCTATGTGAGCATTTATTCCAGTAATGCTCACATATGCTGCCACTAGGGGAGGCAGCAGGTCATCCGTGAAAATCTGCTCTCCCACCTCCTAGGAGCTGGCTGATTATCTATAATAACAAAAGTTTAATATGCTAATTAGACCAGACGTCCTCCCGGATGACCTTCCAGACAAAAGCCGAGGCTTCGAGGGAAGTCTGGGTCCCGGGTTCCTGCTGGCGGCTAGAGGGAAGCCCAGGTCCCAGGTGCCAGAGGGAAACTGGTGCCAGCAGCCGGGGGAAGGAAGGCCTACTCTTGCACGAATTTTGTGCATTGGGCCTCTAGTATAGGAATAAGGAAGAAAGGCTGTATGCAAGGGGGATGGTGGTGAGGAGGGGAGGACATGGCTGCAGGGCCCGGGGTCTGTGTGTCTGTGTGTCTCCTTCCAGGATCTTGAAGTCCGATAACAAGGTAGTTAATTTTCAGTAGTAGTAAAACAGCTTGCCATTTCCTGGGACAGAGAATGGTCAGCATTCCTGAGGCAAACTTGAGGGCCCAGGTGTCTCTTATCTTTTTACAGCTCTGTTTTCTTCTTGCGCACATCCTCCAGTTTCCTCAGGTCTGTAAGAAACCTTCTTACCTGTAGCTCGCAAGGTGAATAATTCTTAAACAACTGTGGCTCTATTCTTATGTCCTTTTCTCCACTATTATTTCCATTCCTGGTCAGGGCACCTGCCCAGGTTGCGGGGTTGATCTGAGGTAGGGGGCGTGTAGGAGGCAGTCGATCAACGATCTAAGGTAGGGGGCGTGTAGGAGGCAGCCGATCAATGAGTTTCTCTTGTCAGTGATATTTCTATCTCCCTCTCTCTCTCCCTTCCTCTCTGAAATCAATAAAAATATTTTTTAAAATAAGACAAATTCATGACAGCAGTGCTACGTTTCTGAAAGGGAGACAGGACGGGAGAGGGGCCTTCAGGATGCTCAGCCTCATCTGGGGGGTCTGGAAGACTCCTTGGCAGTCAGGTCTTGCCCAGGTTTGGGGGATGCTGTGGAGGGGAAGAACAGGTGAGAGGGTCCTGGGGGTGAAGGGCAGTGCCCCTGGAGGATGTGAGAGAACGCCCTGTGGCCCTGAGGAGGAGGCCCCTGGCGCTGGCCAGGCCTGGGCAATGGTCTGCTGTTGGATGGTGACCGCAGAAGTGAGCCCAGGAGAGGCAGGGGGGATATTTTCACAGGAGCCCTCAGGCTGCCGTGTGCAGGCCCCGGCCAGTGTCCCACACATCAAACGTGAATTGCAGGGGCACCTCACAACCAACTCAGATGTTAGGTGGAACAGGACGGGGCCATGAGCAGTTGAGGGCTGAGATAGCTCTGCCCACTGAGCTGACTTAGAAGAGGAAGTGAAGGGAGAGGGTTGTAACCCTCTATTGTTCTTGGTCACTTTCTTGGGAGGTGACCTTGGGACAGGTGTCCCATAGGTCCTGAAGGCCATAGTCAAAGAGTGTAGAAAACGAAAATAGCAGAAAGCACAAAGAACCCCACAGTTAGTGTAATGGAAAGGGAAGGAATGAGAGCAGTCGGCAGTCAGAGGAATGGAAAGAGGGGCCAAGCTGGAGAGGGTGGTGGCCCAAGGGGAGGAGAGGGTGTGGCCTGCAGCCTGGGTTCTCCAAGAAAGCCACTGAAGACTTTGAGAATGGAGACAGAGGCCAGATTTCAGAGCCAAATGGATAGAGGGGACCTGCCATGGGGAGGGGTTTGGGGGTGTAAGGTGGGTGAGGAGTTGGCAGTGCCTGAGAGGGTAAGGGGAGAGGCAGAGGGAGGGCTGAGGCCAAAGACCTGCCCGTGCACCCACTGGATCTTCACTCCACAAACATGGCTAAGACACGCCCATGAGGAAGCATGAGGCAGAGGGGGGTAGAGCAAGGAAGCAGCCCCACCCTTTGAGCACAGTCCGCAGGAGTGACGCCATTCCAAACCATTTTTAAGGTGATGTGTTGACGTGACAGCTGTTGTCACTGTAATAAGCAGATGCTGGAGGGAGCGGTGTGAAAGCAAGGCTCAGGACTTGGAGGAAATGGTCACAGGGTGGCTCTGCAACCAGAGCCCGGACCCTCCTCACTCCTGGGCCCCTCCCCTGCTCTGGAATCAGGCTAGGCCTCCATGCAGCTTCCATAAGGTGAATCAGATGAGTGCGGTGAGCACAGACAGCTGGGGGCAGGTTGTTTTCTTGAGACCCCAGGTTTCAACTCCCTCAAAGAGAACCACCTACAGCAGGTAGGGGGACCCTCCCAGGGGGGTGCTGCAGTTGGCTTATGTCATGTTTGGGGACATCACATTGGACACTTAAAATCAATCATGGTGAAAGTATTTACACCACGGAAAGGGGCAAACACTACAAGTCAGGGTTTTGCATCCAGAGAGCCAGCTGTTACCCATTTACCAGCACATCATCACAGGCTGAACCCATCTCACCCGGCCTTGGCTTTCCCTCCACAGTGAACGGGAAGGCCACAATCACCGTGGAGAGCTGTGCCCCGACCCTGTTCATGTTCATGCTCAATGGCAAGCAGGAGCACGGGCTGCTGAGACTCCAGCAGAACGGGATGAAGCTGGATGTCTACCCTCCAACCATGGGCACCCACAAGCTGCAGATCTTTGCCAAAGGCAACTCCGACATCTACAGCTCCGTGCTGGAGTACACGCTCAAGTGTAACTACGTGGACGTGGGGGTGCGGCTGCCATCGGAGCTGCACCAGCCCGTGGGCCCCAGCTGGTTCTCGGAGCAGATGGGCATCCGAAAGCCCTCCCACCCTGACCCCATCATCCACACCAGCGATGGGCGCTGCTCCATCAGCTTCGGCGTGGAGGAGGGCATCAGCGTCCTGGCTTCCCTGCACGGGGACGACGGCCCCATCACCGAGGAGACGCAGCGGCGCTACATCTTCCAGCTGCACCGGGAGAAGCGGACAGAGCTGAAAGTCCAGCTGCCCCACGCCGGCAAGTTTGCCCTCAAGATCTTCGTCAAGAAGAGGCAGGAACCGGGCAACTATGCCTTTGTCTTCAATTATCTCCTGTGCTGTTCCAACACCAAGGTGAACTGGCCCATGTTCCCCGAGAGCTTTGGTAACTGGGGGCAGGACAACGAGCTGCTGGAGCCTCTGTCGGGTGTGCTTCCTGCCAACCGCAACGTCCCATTCAAGTTGAAGCTGCACGGTGTCGCCAAAGCCCTGGTGAAGGGGCAGGACACGTGGCCCCTGACCCTGAACAGCGAGGGCTACTGGGAGGGCAGCTGCAGCACGGCCGGCTGCCAGGAAGTCTACGTCATGGTGCTGGAGAACGCCAACCACAATTTCTATTCCTACATCCTGAAATATAAAGTGAACGACCAGTGAGGGCCCGGGCCCTGTTACCCCGCCAGGGAGGGCCCCAGGGAAGTGCAGAGAGCCCTGGACACCACTGAGTCTGCATGGAATCACTCCCAGGCCTCTGCCTCCGTCTCCCCGCCCTGCTGCCGGAGCTGTGATGTTTGTGTTCTGAGGGCTTCGCTCAGTGGTGGCGATGGCTGAGGGGACAGAGGCAAAGGCCCCTTAGAAGAAAAAGGTGCTATGTAAATCCACGGTATTGTAAACTGTACACCACTGCCCAGATGCCCCTTCTCGTGTTCATGCTGTTGTCATTGTTGTAGGGCTGATGTGGGGAAGCAGGGGTGCTGGCCAGGCTGGGAGCTCTTCACATGCTGGGGAGAGAATTCATGCTCTGTTGGGCCCCAGAGGGACATGATTTGCAAGGCTGAGTCGCCTTCCATCCCCGGCCCCTTCCCAGTAGCATCACAGTGTTTCTCACTCACTCCTGGATCCCAGGTGGGACTATCATTTGTTCCCCAGACCTGACCATCTTCCGAATTCCTGCTGTCTCTTCATTAGGTGCTTCTTGCTTTTCGAGAGCCCAGGGGGGAAAGGTGTGAAGAGGATGGGAGCTCCCCGAACTGGCTGGAGGCTGGTGGCCCCCACCACCCCTGTGTACACTGGAAATGTGGCAACAGAGATGTGATGAGGAGACTGTGAAGCAGAGAGAAGCCAGTGCCCACTCTTGGGTATCCTGGCAGATCTTTGCCAAAGGCAACTCTGACATCCACAGCTCAGTGCTGAAGCAAGGGCCGAGACCTCCGGCTCTGTGCTCCCAGAGGAGCCTGCAGACCGTTGGGTCAGTTGGGGGTGCCCTTCCAGGCCCTCTCTGAGCCTGCACCCTGCACAGGGAGCCTCAAGAGGCCTGCTGGCCCCTGGGGAGCCTTGTGGATAACCCTAAACACAGACCTGGGCGGGAGGCCAGGCGAGGGAGGAGTGCAACCCTGCAATGCCAACGAGGATCCCAGATACTAGGACTCTGCAGGCCCCAGGAGTCCCCACCAACAAAGCCACAGCTGGGGGGGCCTCAGCCTGCCCTGGGAGCAGTTTTTGTGCTCATCCCTATCCCATCTCCCTCCCTTTCTCTGACAAGAGAGACCCTCGGGATCCCACCTTCCATGGGAACAGTCCGGAGTCTCTTGCTTACTCAGGTCCGAGACTGTCCAGCTGGCCCTCAGCAGCACCTCTGGCAGGCGTTGCCATGGCAACCGTGGAAAGGCCGGCTCCTGCAGGGGCAGGGGGGAGAGAAGGATGGAGAATGCCCTGCATGGCTGATGCAACACCATCCGACACACAGAGACTCTCCAGGTGGCCCTGCTGACCTCCTGGCTTCTCCAGCTCTGTGGCCTCTGCCTATCTCAGCGCCCCCCACCCCTGAGAGCCAGCACTGCCCAGCACTTCCTCCCCCCACGGCTGTTCCAACTGCCCCCAGGCTCAGCCACAGCCAGGGTCAGCCAGGCGCCCTCAGCCTCCTCTGCCTTCATCCTCACATTGGTGTAGTATTCCACCCGTGTTTGTGGGGGTATTTAATAAGCACCAGGCACTGTGCTACATGCTGGGGCTACAGAGGAAACAAAGGGGGGCCCTGCCCCTCATCCCAGAGCTCAGGGTGGGTGGCAGCAGCCTCCTCACCCAGACCTGTCCGAAGTTCCATCATCCCCCACCAGGCCGGCGGCCCTGGGACACGAGGGGAGTACCCCCACGGGGGCTGAGCGACCCTGGCCTGCGTCCAGTGCCTTCTGGCAGGCTCTGCCACCCAGGCATTCAGCACCATGTCACTCGCCCGGAGAGCACACAAAGGCTGGGAGAAGGAACCGCTGTGCTCCGCCACAGGGAAGCAAGGGGAGTGCTTACACCCTCAAAACAGCCTTTTCTCACACCTTTGATTTTATGGGCTGAAAGGAATGTGCTGTTTCATCAAAATAATAAGTGCCTTCCATGACTCCTGTCATTCACTGGACCCAGAGCGGGCCGCCTCCTGCAGAGAAAGACACGCATCTCTTTAAAAGCCATACACCTAATCAGTATATTCTGGACCCTGCAGAGGATGCCACCCAGCAAAACTGGAGCTGTCCAGAGACGGAGGCCCAGCCTCTCAAAGTGCCTGCAGGGCATCGCCTGCCCTTCCCTCCTCATTTAACCAGGCACGCCGGTTGTAAAGACAGCTGTCGACACAGCCAGAAAATCACCTGCATTTCTTTTCCACCGAAGTAAAAATACATGAAATGAAATCCCATATTCATGAATTTTTACACGCATGCTGCTCAGGGTGGAATTTGGGGTTGCATTTTTTGAAGTCTTTTATTCAAATCCCCGTCTTTGTTTCCCCGGCTTTGAGTCCCCGCGGCCGGTGGAATGGCACGGGCGCCCCCTGGTGCCCAATGTGCAGAACTGTCGTCGCTGCACACCTCCGCGAGGCTGACCCTCTCGCCAGGGTTTTTCTGCAGAATTTGTTAAGTGCTGCTGAGATGTTTGTGTTAAATTCACTTGGTGCTCTCTCGTGGCTTCTCCGTGCTTTCTCGTGTGCACACCGAGCACATTTTTGCCACGCACAAGCTGTGAAGCGAGCCTGGGGGACTGCCTGGCGAGAAGACACGGACTATGACAGGATTCGGGCGTGCTTGGCCCCGAAATCCCCGAAGCAGAAACACTGGACGTGGGACAGGATGGGACAGCTTTGAGCACTCTCATTACTATGCCAGTGAAGGACCGAAGCCGATCAAACTCAGAGAGCTGTGGCTGGCAAGTCCAGGATGGCCAGCCCTCAGGCCGCAGGCGGAAAGGTGCGGTGGGTTCTGGGTTCGGGAGGGAGGGAAGGAGGGTGCAGGAGCAAATGGGCTACACCCGCGAAGGCAAGTAACTTCGTTTCAGCTTGTTTGGGAAGCGGCTCCAGCACAGCTGGGCTCCGTTTTCAGTCTGGTTCTGATCCTTGTGAGTTCCCCATACGTAACATTGTCCCACCAGGACAGACTCCACACACAGCCTGCTGAGATTAAAGGGAAGTAAATAGATGAACTGGAGCATGAAGGATTTAGGCTAGACATAAAGAACTGTTTCCTGTTAACAGGAGGGACAAGTTGCCGAGAGAGTCTGTGAAATCCTCTTCTCAAAGGGCCTGGGACGTGGAAAGGTGTTAGAAGCCACGCTAACGGCGAGGACCAGGCTCTCTCCAAACCCGCCCCACCTGACCGCCTGCAGCCAACACAGGGCCAGCGGTGTTGCCGTCCTTCGCGGTGGGCATCTGTGTCCCACGTCAGGTGACCTGAGGTCTGTCATTTCTTTTCCTTTGGAATGGCTGGTTGGACATCTTCCCGACGTGATTACTCTTCATTATGCGTGCATCGAGTTGTGTGGGCCGGTGGCTGTTGAGTATGCTTTTCCCACATTGTTGCTGGTGTTGTTTTTCAATAAAATTTATATTCATTTTTATCCAACAATGTAATTATTGATCCATTCTTATCACTGCTCTCACAAAAAGGGGAAACACACACACACACACACACACACACACACACACACACACACGAAGAAACACTTTCATGTTCAAAGGAAGCCCGAGGGATGGGAGGGGGAAAATCAATGTCCCAGCCATTTGAATGTGGTGGTGAGATGCAAACGGCATGTCAGGCAAATAGCTACTTCACATTAAAGAAAACATAATTAGGTTAGCTCCCGCCCCTCTCTGGCTCACATGCCTTTGAAGAACATGAAGGCAGTGTTTCTTTCATTGAATCTTGTTTAACTTGAAATTTTTAAAGTCAGTCCGAATTTCTGTTTTTAGTGGGAGAGAAAAAAAAGTATCTACCCAAAATGCCTCTCGCCGTATTTTTTTATTTGAATATATAAATATATATTTCTTGATAGTCAGTCATATACATGCAGAAACTTTCCAGCAGGCTTTCTAAACAGATTATTCATAAATTAGACATTTAGGGAAATATAGCAAATGAAAATCTATAGACACCTCTAGGAAGCGGCTGTAACCATGGAGACCATTCTCGTAGCTGTGCGGTGAAGGACAAAAAGAATGTGTTTTCCCAAACCGCCCGGTCGTGGCCCTCACTGCGAGATCCACGAACAGGAGTCCCAGCATGCGCCTCCTCAGGAAGGAGGCCCTCAGGGGAACCCTGCCTTTAACAGCATGTTCAGGGGAGTCAGAAGAAACAGTCTTGGCGTGACTAAACGGAGGAACTCCCGAATTATTAGAACACTCTGAAAATGCCAACCCGAGGCTGGACTGGTGACCTCTAACGTCCCTTCCAGTCGGAAGAGCCTGTGATGCTGTGTCTCGTAGAACAGGTGCTGGCAGGCGGTAGACCTGGGATTGTCAGTTGCAGAACATCTGAAGGGCCCCGCTGCGTTGAGAGCCCGCCCTGCAGCCCCCAGCAGACGGTGCTGCTGGCTTCTCTCTCGCCTGAGGGCAAGGGGCTGGAGAGAACCCCGCCTCAGAGCAAAGGGGAAGCAACAGCCCCTGACACTAAGTTGCTTCTCTCTGATTTTGCAAGCAGAACGCAAGAAAACGAAAAGTCAGGCGGCAGCTGAGACGTCCTCTCTCAGATGTCTCACAGGCATCCCAGAGTCAGAAGATACTGAACCAAAGTCACTTTTCTTAACTCCCCCTGGGCCCTCAAGGCAGCAAATGCCTCCCTATCCCCCAGGTACCGAAGTTAAACTGCTGGTGGCCACTAGTGACTCCTTCATCCCCCTCCCCCACTCCCCCACCCCCACCTCCCGCCCAATGGTGAAATGTAGTCTATGCTGCCTGTGGCTCATATCTGACCTACTCTTCTACTAGTAATTCCACGTCCACTCCATTGCACGGCCTTTGCCGTAATTCAAGCCCTCCTCATCTCTCCGTTACGCGATGGTGACTGCTTCCTATGATGGCAGGAACCCTCTACCTACCTGCCCCATGGCTCCCCCTCTTATGTGAACACCAGGACTATTGGGTGGTGTTAAGACAAGGTTTCCATGAAAGCCTTCCTGAAGAAGTGGGCCATCCACCTTTGGAGAAGGCATCATTTGCCTCAGGCACTGATGGGAAAGGTGGGTCTTCAAACAAAAACTGCTCTTAATCAGGAGGCAGGAAACATCCCAGAATCCCCGCCGTTTTGGGGGGCTCCGAAGCCAGGTGCTGCAGTCCTCACTCTCAGGCGACAGTGTGTAGGATGGCTGAGCACCACGGCCAGGTGGGGACCTGAGGCAGGGTGCAGCCCTGAAGGTGAGAAAGCCACACCTTATAAGTCATGGTACCCACAGGTAGGTGGGTAGCAGAGGACGCTCAGGGACTCCCTGGGGCCATGAATAGCTTTATGGCATTTCCTTTCCTCAATCTAGTTAGGGGCCCTGCCCAGATTTCCCCCACCCCCAGCCCCGTTTAAATGAGATCCCATACCCTCAGCTGGGTGCTCCTGTTGAAAAGCACACAGACCGAGCTGAGGGCATCCGCTGGTCCCACCCACACCCAGCCAAACGGAGCCCGACAAATAAGCCTTCCTGAGAAAGCTCCTGAGTCCCAGGAGAACACGCTATCTTAGGAAAGAGCTGTGGGATGGCAAATCTTTGGTTATTTAAGAGCAAAATGCATAAACATTTCCCACCCGGTGTGGGACTGTCTCCAGGAGAGTTGCTCGTTAGAAAACAGTGCTCCAGGGAACAGTCAGAGCTGGGTTCTTCGAGCAAGGCTGTCCTCAGGGCGGGTCCTGCAGGGAACGCCTGCAGGGTGAGGTGTCAGAGACAATGAGCCTCGAGGTTCTGGGCACTTCCGGGTGGCAAAGCTGCTTCGGGAGGGTTTGAGAATGAGAAGGAAACCTGGACAGAGCCTGCCAAGTGTTTCATGCCTTACCTGACACCAGCTCTCCAGATGTTTGGCCACTGTTTGCCTGGAGCACAGGGTTAAGAAGGATTCTGAGGTCACATCGAGCTCTGCAGGAAAGAGTGCTGTGATTAGCTAGGGAGCCACAGCCCCTCGATTGAAGGGTGAGGTATGCCATGCATTTGCCAATCCTGACTTAAAGGCAGCCAAATCAGGCTAAGACCACAATACCAAAGGAGGTGATTCCGATCCATGGGTGAGCACTGGCTTCCCAGCAACCTAGCCCACTGACTGACAGCCAGTCAACTACCAAACCGTGTGTTCAAGGATGCGCTGGAGGCCCCCTGACCACCTCTGGGCTCCAGGAGGTGCCACTCCACGTACCCACCTTAGCACACAAGTGCACAGACCTTTTGCTCCAGGAGGAGCGAACCTGAGCCAACCTCCTTTGCTATTTCATCTCCATGATCAAACAATGCCTTGCCTTTAGAATAAGTGATCAGTAAATCTGAAGTGAACATCAATATGTCATTTCAGAAATGAATGAACACATCACTGGATTTATTTACATGGGCTGTTGACCGAAAAGACTGTTGAGTTACAACCGCTAAATAGTTCTTTCCTCCTTCATCCCCGCTAACTAACGCAGTGTAAGCAGGGCCCTGTGGGGAATGTTTGTTTCCAGGAAGAAAGAAATGGCCACCTGGCTGGGCATGCGTGCAATCAGGGCAACGGATCGATGGGAGGAGCGCCCTTCTTCCCAGGGAGCCTCCGCCTTCAGCGCTTGCTGGCATCCTTTGTTTTCATCAAAGGGACGGCTGGCTGCCTCCCTGACACAAGGAATCAGCCATCATCTCACCGTGGGTGTGGGAGACCCAGGCGCCCCCCTCTAGGGGGGCAGGGAGTTCTGTGGACAGGCTTGTGGAGCGAGGGCAGCAGGCAGCCACTCCGTGAGTGACCAGGAACAATTGTGCAGCATCATTAATGCAGCCCAGATGTCAGGAGTGAGGGGCCCCGGCAGCTCCCATATGGACAAACAACGGTGATAAGGGGAAATGAGGAAACGTTTATTTAAAGCAAAATGACCGCAGAATTGCAAATTGCCCGGTGAAGACCCCGCGATGTGTGTGTATCTGTATGTATGTGAACACCCGGAGGGTCTGAAATTTAACATTTTATGTTATGAAAAATTGAGCACAACCGAGATGCCAGAGCATTTGGAGGCTGTCCCCCACCCCCAGCTCCTCTGTGGTCATCCGCCCACGGGCCTGGGGCGAGCGTGGGCACCAGGCACGCGCGGGCACCCATTTCACCGGCATCGGATCCCCTTCCCCTCTCCCAGGAGAAGCACAACGAGGAGAAGATGTCACCTGGTCATGGGCGGAAGCCCGCTGTCAGTAAAAGCTTCGCTTGACATTTTTAAAGCTCAGCGAGGGTGTTGAAAGACCATTTTTAAAAGAAGCGACTGGGGGTGTGGGAGGTGGAGGAGGGGGGTGGGGGAATAAACAGTGATGGACAGAGACTCGACGTGGGGTGGTGAACACAGGGGACAGTGTCCAGATGACGTGTTGTGGAATTGTGCACCTGACATCAGTATGATTTTGTTAACCAGTGTCACTCCAATTCATTCAATAAAAAGGAAAAATAGAAGAGGCGAATGGGCTTCTTTCTGGAAAGATGACCTCTCAGCCGCTGGTCCCTGTTTGACTGAAAGCCGTCCTGCGCAGTCAAGAGCCACGACTATGGGATCGAAGGCTCTCTTCCCTTCTCCAAACATGGCTTGGACCGGGGAAGCCCTGCAGCTAGCTGGAGGCCTCCTCACAGAGCTCCGGCCGTCCTGAGGCTGGGGGCCTGGGCTCAGACCCTGGGGGACACAGCAGGATGGGACACCGTGAGGAGTGCTACCCCAGCTCTGCCGCCGCCTGTCTCAGCTTCCATGGCAGCTAAAGGGATGACACTCAGAGCCTGGTCACGTAAGTTTCTTGTGGGGATGGAATGAGCTAACACCCACACAGGGAACAGGCCAGTCCCCAGCACACAGCCAGTGCTCAGGGAGGGCTGGCTGTCATCCCCGCCCTTCCCCCGCCTCCCCCCCACCCCCCCCCCCCCCCGCCACACACACACACACACAGCACAGTGGTCACCACATATGAGGGTGATACTGTTCGCTGAAGAATCCAAAGGCCCAGGCCCCTCATGGAGCCATGGCCGTCACTGATTTCAGGCTCTACAAGAAGAAATCCTGTTTCCAACACCAGACTCCCTGCCTCTCCTGGAATCCTCCCGGAGACCAGGAGCTCCCCTTTCCTCGAGCTGCTGTTACATTATTGGACACCTCTGTTCTAAAGGCCCTTCCCTCATGGGTAATGGCCTTAAATTGGTCCAAATGAGCCAATGTGCCCACTGGCTCGTGATCTTACCTTTTAGAGTCCGGACCACCCGGCAGGAAGCCCTGAGCCATCTGTACAAAGCCCAGCTCTAGTCTGGGGTCTGGGAGCCCAGTAGAACAGCTGTAACTTCGATATAGGGAAGGGGATCCCAGAGAGAGGAAACTCTCCCACTCAAGAAAGCCTGCAAGCCAACATCGGAAGCCACGGAAGAAAG